GGTTACTGGGGCCGTCCGAAGACACACTTAGACCATGAGGTCCATTGTGATACCCTAAGAATTTGACACCTGTCCCTATAACCACTTGGTATTGGCTACAAAGCCATTGACACGAGCTATGGAAATAGAATCTAGCTCTCTTAATGAATAGAAAAAGTGCGACCCTAAGTAGGATAGTCTATGTCTTGCGAAGGCAGGACACTGTAGCAGAAGGTGTGTTGGTGATTCCTCTTCATCATCCTCCATGCAATGTCTACAATGTAAGGAGGTCCTGATGTTGAGTCTCACGGCATGTCCTCCCAACGGGCAGTGTCCCGTAATAATTCCCACTATCCTGGATAAATTTGCTCGGGATAGATTGATTAATTCCCCCGATCTTTTCTTACTTATTTTTGGCCAAAATTTCCTTGGTTTTTATGCAGTTGGTTACTGTTGACCATCTTCTTTCAAACATTTGGTATGTCCATAATTTTATTCGGTGCCGACAAGAAGCAATTGGTATACCCACACTTTCTTTTTCCAGAAGAATTTGTGCTGTCGTACCATGTCTTGCTAATTCATCTGCTATACAGTTGCCTTGGATGTCCCTATGTCCAGGGACCCAAATAATTCGTATCCGAAAATATTCAGCCATCACCATAAGTGATGTGAGACAATTCAGTACTAACCTCGAGTTGAAGGTCGACGAGTTTAAGGATTTTATAGCTGCCTGGCTGTCAGTAAATATGTTTATAAATTTAACGGAGGAGACATTGTGTTTCAGCCAATCTGAAACTTCCAATATAGCAGATACTTCAGCTTGAAAAACGCTGCAGTGATCCGGTAGCCTGAAACTCATACTGAGATCTAGTTCAGGGCAGTATACTCCTCCTCCTACTTGTCCATCTAACTTTGAGCCGTCTGTAAAGAAGTTAAGGCGATTATCACTCTTTACAGAGTAGTTTTCCCATGTCTCCCTAGAAGGAATAAATAATTCAAGATTTCTGTCCACAATTGTAATTGTAGTACAGTAGTCTGTTATATCCGGAATGAAATCAATTTCTCTGAGGATGGAATCTTGCATCCATCCACAACTGCTTCCAATTCCTAGTTCTCTTATACGTAAAGCTGCCCCAGCTACCTCGCCTTTCGCCGCGATGTCGATAGGTAAGATATTGAAGATAACATTCAGGGCAAGTGACGGCGTTGATTTTAACGCTCCGCTTAATGTCATCAGTGCAGTCCTTTGAACCTTTTCCAATTTCTTGCATAGTGTTGACCTATTCAGAGTATTTCTCCAAAATAACACTCCATACAAGAGAATTGGTTTTACCACCACATTATATATCCATAAAATGGACTTCGGTGAGAGTCCCCATCTTTTGCCTATAGCGCCTCTACAACAGTAAAAGGCAACCATAGCTTTTTGGGTACGTGCAACAACATTTGGTCCCCAATTCAGTTTTCTGTCAATTATAAGACCTAAATATTTGGCTTTATCATTCAGAGTCAGAGTTTGACCTCCTAGGATAGGTAGTGTGAATTCCGGAATTTTATATTTCCTAGAAAAGAGCACTAGTTCTGTTTTGGTTGGATTTATTGATAATATATATTACAATAATATACCCGTATGTTGACTGATAAGTCATATTTTAATTAGGAAAACTAATATAGATTACTCGTTATGATTTCGAGTTAAATTTATTGTGCGCAAACACTACCATGTAACTTCTAATCGGAATATTGGTCATGAGAGTAAGTCTCAGAGTAAGGATATACTTTATTCATATGCAGATCAAAAATAAGATCATATATACTGACCGATGTAGTAATTACAGTAGAGCTTTAGAGTAATTTAGGACATTACTTTATTCAAATATAGAGTAAAAATCAGATATAATTAGAAAACACACAGTTACAGATATGATTACATACTAAAGATAAGTCTCATCATCAACAAACAATATCAGAAGCTTTATCAATATGTCCAATATTTTTGAATACCATTTATACCAATTAAAATAGACTTTTTAAATATAGATTCTATTATGCTTATCACTATTCAAATTGTTTAATACGGTACCTTATATGGAAATATCCGTATAGATGATGTGTTTCGATAATAATGAAAATTGTTTTCTGAGAACTGGAAAATAAAAATATTTATTTGTTGTTTTGAGTTTAATAAAAAGTTGTTGATTAGAGTTACCAAGTGAACTCAATTCATAAACTCAAGCAAATACAATAAAATATTTGAATTCCATATATTGTTTACAAAATCGTACAATAACTGTATTACGAATAGCATATCTATGAAACAAAAATAAAATAAATTAAAATAATGGAATAATATAATAAAAAATACATAATTAACAACAATTTAAGAGAATGAAATAATAGTTCATAGTACCTGCGTTCAAAAGTAATAAAGCATCATCAAAACATTTCTTCACTACCTGTGAGTTTTGTGCAACCAAAAGATAATTTGTCAAAAATATTATTTTTAGATAAACAAGATGCAACAATTCAACAATGTAACAAACAATCAGAAAGGTATATAAATCGGCATATATTACTGGTACTTATCAGTTTCAATTTAGAATTGTAATTTGCAACATCTACTCGTATACAAAGTAGCAGAACATATTTTGGACTACAACCTATTGAATCGTATACTTCAATCTGATATACAATTACATATACAAAATGGCAAGTGGAAAAGCAAGTATTGGATATAGATTGTTCCAACATCGATCGGAATTAAAACAGAAGAAAATACGTCCATTGCGTTTATATCGAACAAAACTCGATTTGACGGATGAGCTTATATCCACAAAATATAAGAATGTACGAGAATGCAGCTTGGATGATCTAAAAGTAATGACACGTGAGATGATATATAAGCAGAAATTATTAAAATGTGTTTTATCGGCTAACAAGAAATCACAAAGGAAAATAATGGGCAAACCTTCAACGAAGAGGACAAATAAATCTAATTGATGAAAATGCAACGTTACTTTCATTACTACCATATACTGATGTAAACATTTAAAGACTGATATCACAATTTTTTTAGACTTCAAAAACGATTGAGTTTAGCTCTTGATTATAAAAAATTAACTAGACATATTTTAACTCTAAGTTATAAAATCAATTTTATTTATTGTAATGTGTAAATAATATTTTTATTGTTGTGTATTATATTTAAGAAAAAATAAAACAAATAACTTAATTTTAACCTTAATTTTTGCGTTTTTATGTAAAATATATATATGCTGTGCTAAAACAGGATATCATAATGAGATAGGATATCACATAGGACAACTTAAAAGGAATATAGTATGTCACAAAAGTTATGTTAACTACGCTTTGTTCAGATGTTAGATGTATTGAAAGTTTTCTTAGGAGTAAAAATTATATGAAGATATTACATATTAAAGAAATTTCTTCTTGAACAAATCACATATCCTTTACTCAGTATGACAGTTAGTCTCGGTGGACATATATTACAATAATATACCCGTATGTTGACTGATAAGTCATATTTTAATTAGGAAAACTAATATAGATTACTCGTTATGATTTCGAGTTAAATTTATTGTGCGCAAACACTACCATGTAACTTCTAATCGGAATATTGGTCATGAGAGTAAGTCTCAGAGTAAGGATATACTTTATTCATATGCAGATCAAAAATAAGATCATATATACTGACCGATGTAGTAATTACAGTAGAGCTTTAGAGTAATTTAGGACATTACTTTATTCAAATATAGAGTAAAAATCAGATATAATTAGAAAACACACAGTTACAGATATGATTACATACTAAAGATAAGTCTCATCATCAACAAACAATATCAGAAGCTTTATCAATATGTCCAATATTTTTGAATACCATTTATACCAATTAAAATAGACTTTTTAAATATAGATTCTATTATGCTTATCACTATTCAAATTGTTTAATACGGTACCTTATATGGAAATATCCGTATAGATGATGTGTTTCGATAATAATGAAAATTGTTTTCTGAGATCTGGACAATAAAAATATTTATTTGTTGTTTTGAGTTTAATAAAAAGTTGTTGATTAGAGTTACCAAGTGAACTCAATTCATAAACTCAAACAAATACAATACAATATTTGAATTCCATATATTGTTTACAAAATCGTACAATAACTGTATTACGAATAGCATTTCTATAAACAAAAATAAAATAAATTAAAATAATGGAATAATATAATAAAAAATATATAAATAACAACAATTTAAGAGAATGAAATAATAGTTCATAGTACCTGCGTTCAAAAGTAATAAAGCATCATCAAAACATTTCTTCACTACCTGTGAGTTTTGTGCAACCAAAAGATAATTTGTCAAAAATATTATTTTTAGATAAACAAGATGCAACAATTCAACAATGTAACAAACAATCAGAAAGGTATATAAATCGGCATATATTACTGGTGCTAATCAGTTTCAATTTAGAATTGTAATTTGCAACATCTACTCGTATACAAAGTAGCAGAACATATTTTGGACTACAACCTATTGAATCGTATACTTCAATCTGATATACAATTACATATACAAAATGGCAAGTGGAAAAGCAAGTATTGGATATAGATTGTTCCAACATCGATCGGAATTAAAACAGAAGAAAATACGTCCATTGCGTTTATATCGAACAAAACTCGATTTGACGGATGAGCTTATATCCACAAAATATAAGAATGTACGAGAATGCAGCTTGGATGATCTAAAAGTAATGACACGTGAGATGATATATAAGCAGAAATTATTAAAATGTGTTTTATCGGCTAACAAGAAATCACAAAGGAAAATAATGGGCAAACCTTCAACGAAGAGGACAAATAAATCTAATTGATGAAAATGCAACGTTACTTTCATTACTACCATATACTGATGTAAACATTTAAAGACTGATATCACAATTTTTTTAGACTTCAAAAACGATTGAGTTTAGCTCTTGATTATAAAAAATTAACTAGACATATTTTAACTCTAAGTTATAAAATCAATTTTATTTATTGTAATGTGTAAATAATATTTTTATTGTTGTGTATTATATTTAAGAAAAAATAAAACAAATAACTTAATTTTAACCTTAATTTTTGCGTTTTTATGTAAAATATATATATGCTGTGCTAAAACAGGATATCATAATGAGATAGGATATCACATAGGACAACTTAAAAGGAATATAGTATGTCACAAAAGTTATGTTAACTACGCTTTGTTCAGATGTTAGATGTATTGAAAGTTTTCTTAGGAGTAAAAATTATATGAAGATATTACATATTAAAGAAATTTCTTCTTGAACAAATCACATATCCTTTACTCAGTATGACAGTTAGTCTCGGTGGAAATATATTACAATAATATACCCGTATGTTGACTGATAAGTCATATTTTAATTAGGAAAACTAATATAGATTACTCGTTATGATTTCGAGTTAAATTTATTGTGCGCAAACACTACCATGTAACTTCTAATCGGAATATTGGTCATGAGAGTAAGTCTCAGAGTAAGGATATACTTTATTCATATGCAGATCAAAAATAAGATCATATATACTGACCGATGTAGTAATTACAGTAGAGCTTTAGAGTAATTTAGGACATTACTTTATTCAAATATAGAGTAAAAATCAGATATAATTAGAAAACACACAGTTACAGATATGATTACATACTAAAGATAAGTCTCATCATCAACAAACAATATCAGAAGCTTTATCAATATGTCCAATATTTTTGAATACCATTTATACCAATTAAAATAGACTTTTTAAATATAGATTCTATTATGCTTATCACTATTCAAATTGTTTAATACGGTACCTTATATGGAAATATCCGTATAGATGATGTGTTTCGATAATAATGAAAATTGTTTTCTGAGATCTGGAAAATAAAAATATTTATTTGTTGTTTTGAGTTTAATAAAAAGTTGTTGATTAGAGTTACCAAGTGAACTCAATTCATAAACTCAAACAAATACAATAAAATATTTGAAATCCATATATTGTTTACAAAATCGTACAATAACTGTATTACGAATAGCATTTCTATGAAACAAAAATAAAATAAATTAAAATAATGGAATAATATAATAAAAAATACATAATTAACAACAATTTAAGAGAATGAAATAATAGTTCATAGTACCTGCGTTCAAAAGTAATAAAGCATCATCAAAACATTTCTTCACTACCTGTGAGTTTTGTGCAACCAAAAGATAATTTGTCAAAAATATTATTTTTAGATAAACAAGATGCAACAATTCAACAATGTAACAAACAATCAGAAAGGTATATAAATCGGCATATATTACTGGTACTTATCAGTTTCAATTTAGAATTGTAATTTGCAACATCTACTCGTATACAAAGTAGCAGAACATATTTTGGACTACAACCTATTGAATCGTATACTTCAATCTGATATACAATTACATATACAAAATGGCAAGTGGAAAAGCAAGTATTGGATATAGATTGTTCCAACATCGATCGGAATTAAAATAGAAGAAAATACGTCCATTGCGTTTATATCGAACAAAACTCGATTTGACGGATGAGCTTATATCCACAAAATATAAGAATGTACGAGAATGCAGCTTGGATGATCTAAAAGTAATGACACGTGAGATGATATATACGCAGAAATTATTAAAATGTGTTTTATCGGCTAACAAGAAATCACAAAGGAAAATAATGGGCAAACCTTCAACTAAGAGGACAAATAAATCTAATTGATGAAAATGCAACGTTACTTTCATTACTACCATATACTGATGTAAACATTTAAAGACTGATATCACAATTTTTTTAGACTTCAAAAACGATTGAGTGTAACTCTTGATTATAAAAAATTAACTAGACATATTTTAACTCTAAGTTATAAAATCAATTGTATTTATTGTAATGTGTAAATAATATTTTTATTGTTGTGTATTATATTTAAGAAAAAATAAAACAAATAACTTAATTTTATCCTTAATTTTTGCGTTTTTATGTAAAATATATATATGCTGTGCTAAAACAGGATATCATAATAAGATAGGATATCACATAGGACAACTTAAAAGAAATATAGTATGTCAAAAAATTTATGTTAACGACGCTTTGTTCAGATGTTAGATGTATTGAAAGTTTTCTTAGGAGTAACAATTATATGAAGATATTACATATTAAAGAAATTTCTTCTTGAACAAATCACATATCCTTTACTCAGTATGACAGTTAGTCTCGGTGGACATATATTACAATAATATACCCGTATGTTGACTGGTAAGTCATATTTTAATTAGGAAAAGTAATATAGATTACTCGTTATGATTTCGAGTTAAATTTATTGTGCGCAAACACTACCATGTAACTTCTAATCGGAATATTGGTCATGAGAGTAAGTCTCAGAGTAAGGATATACTTTATTCATATGCAGATCAAAAATAAGATCATATATACTGACCGATGTAGTAATTACAGTAGAGCTTTAGAGTAATTTAGGACATTACTTTATTCAAATATAGAGTAAAAATCAGATATAATTAGAAAACACACAGTTACAGATATGATTACATACTAAAGATAAGTATACCATTTATACCATTTATAAAATAGACTGTTTAAATATAGATTGTATTATGCTTATCACTGTTCAAATTGTTTAATACGGTACCTTATATGGAAATATTCGTATAGATGATGTGTTTCGATAATAATGAAAATTGTTTTCTGAGATCTGGACAATAAAAATATTTATTTGTTGTTTTGAGTTTAATAAAAAGTTGTTGATTAGAGTTACCAAGTGAACTCAATTCATAAACTCAAACAAATACAATACAATATTTGAATTCCATATATTGTTTACAAAATCGTACAATAACTGTATTACGAATAGCATTTCTATAAACGAAAATAAAATAAATTAAAATAATGGAATAATATAATAAAAAATATATAAATAACAACAATTTAAGAGAATGAAATAATAGTTCATAGTACCTGCATTCAAAAGTAATAAAGCATCATCAAAACATTCCTTCACTACCTGTGAGTTTTGTGCAACCAAAAGATAATTTGTCAAAAATATTATTTTTAGATAAACAAGATGCAACAATTCAACAATGTAACAAACAATCAGAAAGGTATATAAATCGGCATATATTACTGGTACTAATCAGTTTCAATTTAGAATTGTAATTTGCAACATCTACTCGTATACAAAGTAGCAGACCATATTTTGGACTACAACCTATTGAGTCGTATATTTCAATCTGACATACAATTACATATACAAAATGGCAAGTGGAAAAGCAAGTATTGGATATAGATTGTTCCAACATCGATCGGAATTAAAACAGAAGAAAATACGTCCATTGCGTTTATATCGAACAAAACTCGATTTGACGGATGAGCTTATATCCACAAAATATAAGAATGTACGAGAATGCAGCTTGGATGATCTAAAAGTAATGACACGTGAGATGATATATAAGCAGAAATTATTAAAATGTGTTTTATCGGCTAACAAGAAATCACAAAGGAAAATAATGGGCAAACCTTCAACTAAGAGGACAAATAAATCTAATTGATGAAAATGCAACGTTACTTTCATTACTACCATATACTGATGTAAACATTTAAAGACTGATATCACAATTTTTTTAGACTTCAAAAACGATTGAGTTTAACTCTTGATTATAAAAAATTAACTAGACATATTTTAACTCTAAGTTATAAAATCAATTTTATTTATTGTAATGTGTAAATAATATTTTTATTGTTGTGTATTATATTTAAGAAAAAATAAAACAAATAACTTAATTTTAACCTTAATTTTTGCGTTTTTATGTAAAATATATATATGCTGTGCTAAAACAGGATATCATAATGAGATAGGATATCACAGAGTTTTGAAGCCATGCAGTAGAGATGTTCTACAATGCAATGTTCTGAGATTTTACTTTGGAATAATAATACATTATTAGTTTGAAAAATGAATTCATCACTTATTTTCTATTTAGTGTGGCTTTTGGGCTTAGTGGTTTGCCTTCTCTGTTGTAATGTACAGCGAAAAGTCAAATTTTAATGAGAGAACACTCTAATTGCGTTTTAATAACTATTTTAAAAAAATATATCTTAATAATTTATAGAACTTTCTAATCTTAAAAAATGTTAATGTGTATTTTTAATTGTTTTTATATTTATAAATATGAATGTTTGAGAAATACTACATTTCTAATAGATTTTTCTAAATTTGGTTAAGGCTTTAGTTTTGTTAATACTATTGCTTGAAGTAAATGACGATTTTCTTCATAATAATTAATGAATTACTTTATATATATAATAAATCAAGTTAAGCTTTTTATAAAGTTTGAATTGAGCACAGTTTTATTTATATTATTAAATAGATTTTCACAAATTAATAAGAAAATGTTGTTGTATAATAATTAATACAATTCCAAAAAAGCGATGAATAGCTAATACGAAATCAAGTGTTTAATTTAATATATATGTAATTCTGTAAATATCTTCAATATTATTTTCTTTTTATACTAATTTTGTATCCTGAATCCACGGCAGTAATTCATCTACTGGAACTGTTTTAACCTCATCGTTGTGTATTAACCGAACTGTATAAAGTTCACCTTCCTTCACTATATTCTCAACTTTAGCTTCAAAATCCAACTTGTCTTCACACTTGACACGTACTGTATCCCCAACTTCACATTCTGAACAGTTAACCGATGTGGTGACGATAGGCTGTATAGTGGGTGCATTGCACCACTGCTCACGACGGGCGGCATCTCCACGTGAATCTAAGAGCTGATGGAACTTAACTATGTGCTCTGTTAATAATCCACAGACTTCGACTACGCAAACTTCTGTTTGTGGATTACTAGAGGTTACTCTAACTTCATAGTCCTTTGAATTCTCAAAAATTACTCGAAAGAAGTCGCCTGCTGCTGGTGGCCTGTGCTTATTACCCTAAGAATTCAAAGAATTATTTAAATAAAACTATGAATAAATATATCAATTCTTATATATTTTTTATTAATCTGTAGTATATACTATATATATTATTATAGTATATATATGCTCAAATATAAATATACTTATACTCAAATTTTAATATATATACTTAGAGTGTATACCTGTCTTATTTAAAAAGTTATTTCACAATAAATGAAATAAATCATGTTTTAAAAACTGCTTTTAAAAGCTTTAGTATTACATTTAACATTTCTTAATATACCATTAGAGTTACAATTACAATGAATTATCATTAAGTGTTTACATACTAAGCGGCGGTTTTTAAGCTCAGAGAGGTTGACAAAACAGACTATAACTCGCGTTACAAATTTTAATTCGATATTTTGACAATCGATTAAAGTTATTGTCAATTACAAAAGTTGTAATTTTATAGTTATAAAATTATGGAAAAGTACCCGGGTACTATGGCTACATGAGTTAATAAACTGTATTTACGTTCTGTATTATGTTTTTATTTATTAATTATGTATTTGTAAAAATGAAAACCATCGTTCTTAAAAGACATAAGCATATATTTCTACATACCTTCTTTAGAAACGTCCTCCCCTGTTTATTTTGCAAATAATTACGTCTACGCATTTCAAACGAGTCAATAGCCTTCGCTACCAGAAAAATGGCAATAAAAGTTAAAATATTTTTAAAATTAATGTCGTTTGTGTTGATAACTTAATTTGGTTAATCACACAATTTAAGCTGTAATTAATATTTTTTAAAGAAATGTGTACATAATAAATAGTGATGATGGTACGGAGAACCATTCGTAGGAAGATAAAAATCAGTAGGAAAGCAACGCAAAATTTTCAGGTGATCATAGGAGATAAATTAATATCTGTATTTCCCAGCATGTATTTTAATTATAAAGAAATTATAAATTATAAAAGTAAATGAAATCCTGAAGAAATAAAATACGTGTTTCTGCATACCGTAGACTAAAGATATTGTACCAATCTTTTGCATCTGGGTTAAAATTGTGATTCTAAAATAAATTGCTTTAGCGTCGGGAATAAAATCCAATGAAGGATTAAGATTTTGCAAGATATGCACGTAACATTATTAATCTGACACTATAAAAGTGATGTCGAAAGAATTATTTTTGAAAATTGTTATCCGTCTTTATAAAAATATGTCATAAAATGAATAAGCCAACAAAAGATTGCAAGTTATTAACACGTTAAAGACCGCATGCCCCACCGGTGGGTCACTCTGTAACAACATTACCGGCCCGCTTGCTCACGGGTGGGCACACGACATATTTTACCTGGGGATCGCTTGTACACCTGTTTGCATGATTTAAATTTAATTTATGTACAGTATTCTATTCGCCGGTTCATCGGTGAAATACTGCATATAGCGGACTTACTTATTTCGCCATAACCTTATTTCAAAACGATTTTTTTTAATCAAATCAATATAGGTAATTAACAATAAAAAAAAAATGCCGTCCCTATGTGTGAAATAAAATTTTTCAATACGGTCTTCTACGTGTTAAGATTAAAGAATATATTGTTGTTCTTATAACATATATTTCCAGCAATAATGGAATTCAATACCTTTAACATAGTTTTATATCATCAGATAAAGTTTAATCGAATTGTCAGAACACTGGGGTACTCTTATAATTCCAAGATTGAGATAGAATCGAAAACAAAATGCAAAAAGGGATAAAGCAGATATCAGCGAAAAAAATATAAATTATATGGAGTATTAAACAACCGTATGGATAAGCCGGCGTTAAAAGATGAAATTTTAATATTGCAAAAAACCCTTCCCTTCCCTACAAATTTTACGTGAAAAGTATCAATGATGTCAAATATAATCACAGCAATTCTTACATTATCATCTGGCGGGTGTATTTGTTGTTATTTTTATTGGGTGTGATTATTTAAGGATGTTATTTTTTATGTAGGTATTTGTGATTTGAACGTTGGGCATATCAAAAACCAATGCTCAAAACACGTGATTTCACTAAAAATTCGTTGTCCAATAGTGGTGCTCCAGAAGGATTAGAATGATTTATTTACGAAATGTGTGACCAACAAGACTGTCGCGTAAAAAAAGATAAAACTCTGAACAGTTAATGAAGTTGGTTTCAAATAATGATTACTTATATATCTCTATGTAATTTACAAATCCTAAAGAAATATTGCGAATTATTATTAATTAAATTTTTATATTAGTTACCTCCTTGCATTTATTCTTTAACTTTTTCCTTACCGTTTTTTAATAATTTAGAAGCACTGTCGATTATATTTTAAAAAAACAGTTCTAGTTTGCGATATTTAATCATAAACACTACAATTCACCGTTTTAAAAACTTTTACTCTTGACTGTAGAAAGCAAAATAATATAAAATAAAAATGAAAAGAAATCATTGACATAAAACACAAAAAAATAGAGTTGCCATACTAATCATATTCTTTAAACATGTTATAGCATGTATGTTTCATGAGCTATTCGGAGTAACTTTGAGTAACACTGTGTGTACGCAAATGCGTTCCACTAGCAAATTTTCGAGTAAGTAAGAGCATCTGAGAGAGCTTAACATCTCTGTTGAAATTTGAAAATGCTACACAGACTTTACTCGTACGTTTTATTTTAAGTAAAATTTATTTTGATGAGTGAATCAGCTGTTTTGGTTTGAATTTACTGGTGTTCTCACCAGATTTTACATGAAGCTATTCCATGAAAATCTGTTTAAAGAAAGTAATTTGGCACTTTATTTGTGTTACGCTCTCAGTTTGTATTTTACGTGAGTTTTACTACGAGTAGCTCGTGGAACAGACCTAATGTGTACGATAATTTATGTTGACGTAATCGTAGTGTGGCAACATTTAAGCCAATTGAATTTTTGTTGTTTAAAAAACTAAGATCTTAAAAAAAAAATTATATCAGCTGATATCAAAAACTTTTACATGGCATGGTTTTGTGTGTAAACTGTTTGGTGCTGATCGGATTGAATTTGTGTTATTTTACCATATTTCCAGCTGTCTCATTTAGACAGTTTTGCCTACTAAGTTCGTTTATGAGAATAATTTATCATACAAAGAGGTTTCATATAGCTTGTTATGAATAAATAAACTGATTTAAGGCGAAAAATGCAATATACAATCCTTAAAAATAAATTTCCCACTAAAATTTACTAAAATTTGAAATATTTATCATATGTTTTACGTATAAAATATAAACAAACAAGGGATTTCACGTGTATAAATCAGCTTATGCCAATGGAAATGACAAAATCTTAATTTTGTTATCATAAGTAGTTTTAGCTGCAGTGGAAACATATTATGTTGTTTTCCGCTGTGTATAGTATCGTATATTAAATCACTTCTTCATTTATTGTGGTGTTTATATTTTGTACATTAGATACATTTTATGCTAATGTTAATAATATTTTATATATAACGCATAATATATTTAAATTTTTTCTGAGTTAGCACCTTACGGAACACATCTGAACACTCTTCTTCAGATTTGTAACTATTGGAAAGAAGTTTACTAGAGTTAGTTTTAAGATATATATTCCAATAATAAACTAATTAAAATTTAAAACTAGGAATTTATAATAAAAAATAATATATAAAAACAATATTTTATATAATTTGTTTTAGTTCATCTTACGTCATTTTTAGCATTTCATGTTTAAGCATTTGGTTTAGATACATAGATTTAGATTGGTATAGATTTCTTTCTTGATAATTAATCGTTTAAGTTTAAAGTGCAATGATTGCGTTTTTGCGTTTTTCCGTTCAAAATTAAATTAGAGAATTTAATGCTATCATTTATAATAGATAGAGAGAAGAGAAAATAATAGCGTCATAAGGAAAGTTTCCTTTACGTTTCCAGTGTGCGTAATGTTGCCTGATTAAAAAAATATAAATAAACAAAAAAGTAAATAATAATTTTTTTATTTTGTAATTGAACTCTTTGATATATAAAGTTGCTTTACTTATAATAAGACTCTTGGATCACATATTCTTTTTAGTATTAATGATGCCAAAGCATAAAGTATATATCAAAACTTAATATTTTTACATGTTTGGGCTGCATACATTCTGCATATATAGATGCAAGTGTATATTTTAAATTATTAGTTAACTTTTATATATAAAAAAGGAATACACATAAAATATAATATATATATGCTCATTTACAGGGACCTTAAAGTAGTATTCCAAAGCGTATACAACGTTTACAAACTATTAAAATAAAAAACTTTTCGGTTCTAGTTTGTTGCCTAAAACCGAGATATTTGTAATAAAGTAGGTAATTTACCTTAACAAAACATTAAACAATTTGATGTTTGCAGAAAACCAGCAAATTTATTTCCTAACCATTGAAACCTGAAGTATTCGTTAAGGCATGCACCAAAGGAGTAACAAAACAGTGTATAATCCACACACGTACCATGTAAATTACTTTAGAGTTGGATAAACTCTGTTGATGTTGAAACAAGGGTCAGAAATTTAACAGAAATTATTGCAGTACCAACCGAAGCACTTAAATGCAACACTTGTGCATTTTTACCTCGGAGTGACCGTACTCCACCCATAGCTCACCCAAAAGAAAAAAAATTATGGCACTCATATCAATTGTTTCGTTGCTGCAGTCCTTGAGCATAAACACTACCGTGTCATGCTCGTTTATGTTGTAAATACTTTTTTTCCATAGGAACTGCAAAGGAATTGTAGACATTCTTGATTTCGTATGCAGACAAATACTTCAAATAATAGTGAACCAAAAATTTGCAAAAATTATGCAAACTGAGTGTATCGTAACTTCAGAAGTCCTTTCCTGATTCGTTCCTTGCTGTTTTTATTTTTGTGAATTTATGACATTCTTTATGCGAACTGTAAATGATATCCTGTTGCACGTGCACCTTTTCAATTTTCAAAATTTTAAATTCCATTTCAAATTGGTTAAACGGAAGATACAGTAAATTTAAGTAGATGAAGAATACCAAGAGTATTATACTGCAGTTCTAGCATTTGAATTTGAAATATTTAAATTTTGGAGATTTATTGGATTTTAATAGAAGTCCGAAATTTTCAAGCATGAAAAACTATATAATCTTTTAAAATTTAGTTAGAAAAGATATTTTTCAAATCATAATCTATATTTAATACATATAAAATGAATTTATCTTTGATTATTTGAAGTGTTCTTTTCCAAGAGGACAATTTGATTAGAGGATGACTAAGAACTGTCCTTGTTTATAAACTTCACAAACTAATAAAGTTGTAAACGCGCAAAACAAAAAGATTATATATTATAAAGATTATATTTATTTAGATAATAGATATAATAGATGTATTTATATAGATTATATAAAACGATTATGAAGAAGGACATAGTTCATGTTTCTTGCTTGAAAAGTGATAAATATTTCAGTAATGTGTTATGTAGGAAAAACATAAAAATGTGTGAAAGATTTAAATAGTACTCATTAAAAAAAGCAAATTTGGGAAACATTGATTTAGAGCAAAACAAGATATATATCGTGGGTACACAGGGCGAACATCTAACGATTATGCTCTCAAAGTTATCATAGAGTTTACCTATCTTGTCACAGCAACGATCAGGTCACTGCTCCAACAACGAAGGTATTCTGACAGCTAACAAAACTCTCGACGAAAAATCGTTATCCAAATACAATTGTTCGAAGACTCAGTTGTTTTGCGTATTTTTGTACATCACCCAATGTATAGCTTTTAACTAAACCCAATATATCTTAGTTAATAGTACAGTTTGATACATATCACTGACACAATGCTACGAATGATGACCATTAACTGAACAACTTTATATGTTTCTTTTGGTGTTTACTTATTTAATATCGTGTTATTTATAAACTTTCAATTAATTATAACATGATTGACCCGTTCTACCTTATAAAGAACAGAGCATTTGAGCATTCGTGAGGTAGAAACTGATACAAACATTAAGAAATTTTTTCAAATGTCTATGCGTGCGGGTGATTTGGTGACCGGACAAATCATGTGTTGTTTGTGTTTTTATGTTATTTTGCATTATGGGTACATTCAAAATTACTGATAATTATCCTGCATTTTACCGTTTAAGGTGTTTACGTTCATTGTGTTCACGTCTTCAAGGTTAAAATAGTTATTTTGTAAGAAATCAACTGAATCATTCTCACTCATGTAAAATTTTAGTAAAATAGATCAGCTGTTTACTTACGTCACGACTAATTCAGTTGTAAGAATGTGCTAAGTTTTGATTTTTGACATAAATGTTTAACATTACTTTAAGTGCCAAATATCTTGGTTTACGGATTGAACTTGTTTTGTTAATATTTATATGTTGTTTTGCTTTGTGCGTGTTAAAAGTCTTTATAACATTTTCATCATTTTGATTTGTATTTTTTCTACGTTGCCTATATCTATATCAACTAATTCAATCTAGAGCGGATTAGCTACTGTCCTTGCTTCATATATTTTTGCAATAACTATACTAATAGTAGTTTCCCAATTGAATAAAAATAAGTAAAAATGTTATATAGTTTTTAATAAAATTAAAGTGTTACTCATAGTCAATTTACTTCATTAAATAGCAAACTACATCCACATTTTAATTTCTATCTGTTAAGTGCTTTGCTACGCTCTAGAGTACTTCTGACTTTTGATATTAATAATTTTTTGCCCGGAGTACAATAGTTTTATACACAAAAAGCTTCACTGCCACGCTATCTCTTGACATATCCTATAAACCATTTTAATGCTGCAGTAATTCAATATGTCGCCTGTAAGCCGACAAGACTAATGATGTGGTTTAACATTAACCGAGACAGTTTATCATATTTTTTTTCTTCAAAATTTATTTTTGGCTTTGATGTGAATAGTTACACAAATTTGTTAAAGTAATTGATAGCACAATCTACAATCTCGGTGGTAGAATTGGTGTTGATGGTTTGTTTGCTTAGCAGTTATGTACATTTATGATAACAGTCAATGATAAAAATATATGTAAGGAAAAAAATCATTTTTTTAGTCAATTCAGAAATAAAAATATTAAAGCTTTAAAGGATATATTTTATTTTTAATTATGTTAAAATATGTATATGAGGAGGTAAATTAATTAATCTGAAAATTAACTATTCTGACTCTTTGAAAACGTAATTAACTTTGAAGAAAAATTTTGAGAATTGCAATTTGATGTAAACTAAATCAAGTATATAAAGCAAAATTCTTTAATTTCGTATCCTATATACATTAATAGTATTTATTTTGATACAAAGTATAATACTGTATCGATTGACATATTGTATATGGTAATATATTATGTATGTTTGTTGCACATCGACA